AAAGGAGGAAATCAAAATCAATCATAGGAACAGGTGGTGACAAAGATACTCAAAACTTCAGTGGCGTGGAGAAAAAACTGTGGTTTTGCATTAGGCGTACACATCCCAAAACTCAAGAAGAAAATATCTTGGAATACTTACGAAAAAACTCCTCTGATGGAATAACGTTCACCTGCGAAAAAGTGGAATCCAAAAGTCAATATCCTGTATTCAAAGTAAGCGCTCCTTTCAGCGAAAAGGAACGTATATACGATTCTGGGTTTTGGCCACCTGGTGTGCAAGGAAGCAGATTTTATTTCCCAAGATCGGTTTTTACAGAAACAAAAGAGCATGTAGTGAAAATATAGAACAAAACGTACTTCGGTTATTACACCAAAACATGCAAGGTCTAGGTAACAAAGTAGAAAAACTTGAGGTCGTTTTAGAAGAACGTACACCTGATATCTTATTATTAAGCGAACATTGGCAATGCATCGACCAAATTCAGTTTATAAATTTGGAAAATTATTCTTTATGTTGTAGCTTTTGTCGGGATAAAAATAAACATGGAGGAGTAGCGATCTATACTAAGAATAATATAAGGTTTACAACTTTACTACAATTTCAGAAACAATCGGTAGCTAACATCATTGAATGCTGTGGCATAGATATATTGGAAATGAACCTTATCGTTATTGCTTTGTATAGGCCTCCTTCTGGAAATTTTAACCTATTTTTAGATTTTTTAGCGGATATGCTATCCATAATTCCCTATAACAAAACAATTATTGTTACAGGCGATTTTAATGTAGACTTCTTGAATGACTCCCCAGATAAAAAGTACTTATTAGATTTATTAATGACCTTCAATTTAGTTCATACCATATCTGAACCGACTCGGAATCATGCCTGTCTTGACAACATTTTCATCTCTGCAGACACCCCCAGTTATTACACACAAATGTTAAATCTTAGTCTAGCTGACCATCTTGCACAAGAGATAGGTATTTCCAAAAAGAGTTCCCCTAATCAAAATAAAAAACCACCTCACTACAAATCTATACGTAATTTCAAAGAAGAAAATTATCAACATTTTTACGATGCACTGAAAAATCAGGACTGGTCCCCATTATATGATATAACTGACACTGAAGCAGCTTTTAATTTTTTCATGTCAATCTTTAACAGACTTTTCGACTTGTCATTCTCAATAAAACAAATTAAGTGCACATCTAAAGAACAAAAAAAAAATGGATTACACCGGAAGTTCGTAACTTAAAAAAGACTGTTTCCCTATATGCGGATCTTAGTAAACACTTTCCCATTTTTAAAGATCAATTCAAAAAAATAAATAAAGAATATCAAGAGGTGTTAATAAAATCAAAGCAAAATTACAACGAACACAGGTTACTCACATCTTCTAACAAAAACAAAACAATGTGGGAGATTATTAGAAAATCTTCAAATAAAGTAAAAACAAGGGGTGAAATACGAATCTCTGAAAATGGACATGTCTTAACTGATCTAGCTTGTGCTAATCTTTTCAATAAAAATTTCTCAGAATTGGCTCTAAATATAATTGACGATAACACAGTACATAATTCCGATTTTCTACTTAATAACATTTATTTATCGCCCTATAGTTTAAATTTTTTACCAGTCACAGGTTCTGACATTCTTCAGATCATACACAAACTGAAGAATTCTAAATCTGCTGGACATGACGAAATACCTAATAGCGTCTTTAAAAAAGTGGGAAAAACTATTTGCGAACCTATAGCACACATTATCAATTTGTCGTTATTAAATGGTCATTTTCCCAACTCCCTAAAAAAGGCTATAGTAGTTCCACTGCATAAAAAAGGTGACGACCAACTAATCACCAATTATAGACCTATTAGTATTTTATGCAGTCTATCTAAAATTTTTGAACACGTTATTAACAATGGTATTACATCTTTTTTAACAACACATCAGTTAATAGATCCTTCGCAGCATGGCTTCACAAAGGGAAAAAATTTAGACACAGCATTGGCAGCTTATCTTTCTATAATCTCTACTTGTATAGACAAAAACATTCCCTGTCTGGGATTATTCATCGACTTCACGAAGGCCTTTGATTGTGTAAGTCATTCCCTATTACTCAAAAAATTAGAACGATACGAGGTCAGCTGTTTAGGTCCTATCTATCCGGCAGAACACAAAAAGTATTGGTAAATAACACCCTTTCGGCAGAAGTAGGCATCACTGTAGGAGTGCCACAAGGATATATTCTTGGTCCTATTCTGTTTATAATTTTCATTAATGACTTATTAATGCTCATGAAAAAGTCTTTTAACTGCTCAGTAATGTCATATGCTGACGACACTAATTTCATAATCACAGGTGGCGATACCACTGCAGTCATTAATAAGGCGACAAATATTTATACTTTGGCACAAAAATGGGTCACAAAAAATAAACTTTGTATTAACCACGAGAAAACGGCATTTACTTTTTTCTCCAATACCGTAAATTGTGCTGAATGCACACTCAATTTAAATAATATAACCATTGCGTGTTTGCCGTCTATCAAACTACTGGGTATCTCCTTCGATAACCACCTAAAATGGTGTTCATATATAGACCATCTATGTTCTAAATTAGCGTCTGTCTGCTATGCTCTCAAAAACATAATGAGACAATGTAACTTCTCCACGGCAAAGCAACTTTATTTTGCTAACTTTCAGAGTCTTCTAAAGTACGGTATTACGCACTGGGGCCTTTCTCCTGATTTTAACCGTGTATTCATATTACAAAAAAGGGCAGTAAGAATTTTAGGGGGCCTAAAAAACCGACACTCTTGTAGATCAACTTTTCACCAACACGGAATCCTGAGGCTGCCAAGCTTATATATATGTGAAATTTTATCATACACATACAAAAACATAAACAACTTCAAAAATAATAGAACAGAACACGAACACAATACAAGACACAAGGATTTGCTGTTACCGAGACAGCACAATATAGCTCACTATCAGAGAAGTTTGCATTTTAATTGCTGCAAATTTTTTAACAGACTTGACTGCGACATTAAAAATGCCTCTAATTTTATTGTCTTTAAATCTGAAATAAAAAAATTAAAAAAAAAATTATTACGGAATTAGCGAATTTCTTACATAGCATATCCGCTATATTTTATTAAATGTATAAGTTTCTAATGTACTGTACCTTTATGTTAATTGTTTTCCTTTGACAATTCTTTCTTAAATCTATTATAATTGTTGTGTAGATTTTCTGAAAGTTAATAAATTATTATTATTATTATTATCATTGCCCACGGTTTAAACAGAATGGCTGCATGAATACGTTTGCAGTTTCCTACTGTTAATAAATTAGTGGCAAATGGTAAAAAGATTTTTGTTAAAGCCCCACTAAGGGTGCAACATTTTAAGGAAAAATTTCCAAACATACCATTGCCCCCAGAGCCGATTATAACGAGGTGGGGAACATGGTTACAGGCCACATTTTATTATGACAAATATATCAAAGAATTTGAGGAAGTAGTTACGGAGTTTAGCGAAGATTCTTCTCAATCGATTAAAGATTGAATAAATATTTTGGAAAACAAAGATTTGCGACAAGATCTAGCTTTTCTAAGAAGCAATTATCAATTCGTATGTGAGGTAATAGAAAAGTTAGAAAAACCCAACATGTAGTTGGTAGATGCCATAAACTTAGTGAAAGAATTTAAACAACAAGGAAACGCAGTAAGGGGTGATATTGGTACTAGAGTATCTCAAAAACTTGACGAAGTGTTAAATAAAAATGCAGGTTTCGGTGTTCTTTCCGACGTTGCTCGTGTTTTACAAGGCCAGAAGGTGGAAAATTCGGAGTTAGATTCACATTAGTTGCAAAATTCAAATTTGCGCCAACAACGAGTGTGGATGTTGAACGCACATTCTCCAATTTTAAACACATTTTAAATGATCGGCGAAAAAATTTTACAGTGGACAACTTGGAACATATTACAATCATAAATTGTTTTAAAGAAAACTGAAATACGTGTGTAAAATATAAAGTCTAGGATTATTATAATAATATTTTATCCAAAGTTCTAAGAAGTGTTCTTTGATTTGTAATATGATTATGTTTTTAATGCTTTTTTGCTTAAAATAAAACTTTTTTATTGAAAATGTTGTGCTTATTTAAGCGCTTATTCTTAATTTTTTTGTGCTTATCCGCTCTCTAATTATCATCCTTACTATAATTGAAGTAAATTTCAATCAGTTTGGTTGTTCAGGTGCAACAAAACGTGAGTGAAATGAGTAGCCAAACACCTGTATGTGATACCCCAGTATGACATAAACACATACAACATCAGCAGGTGTTTTAATTTTTATTATGCTTGATATCACGGTCTGTGGACTTCGCGGTTTAGCAACACGATAAAACACGAATATCCATACAGTAATTATTTTAATTTTTTTAAAACTTTCCACCAGCCTTGAATTTTTTTACCGTTGTTACTAATCCACAATTTTTTTATTACTACTACTACTACAAAAAAAATCCTAGTCCACCTGCAAACAGCACAAAAGCGCAAAATTTCCCCACGTCACCCTAGCACTTTGCACATTCCATTCTTATTACCAATTCACAGGTCTTCAAATCTCCAGGTCATTCTCTCCAGATTTAAATGTCCTTTCCCAGCTCAGAGCCTCGTAAATCTCAGGTGTTCTAATTCCGGAGAGCCTTGACCTCGCTGCAGTGGAATGTTAACAACACCGAGAGTAAAACTCCGAGTGCAACAATTAGAAGCTTCCGGACGAAGCGCCATTGGAGCGGCACGGAATTAGAAATAATGAATAGACTGCGATGAATAACGACGTCAACGTGCAGGAGTTAACAAGTAGAACAAAGTTTAAACCGTATATTAACGGTACCTAGTCGATCACGTCGAGGAGGAGGATTTGTAGGCACGAAGTAGCGACAGTCGAGTGGTCGAGTGGCAAGACTGGCGAGTCGTGCCGAGAGGAAAGTTTTCGGAAAAGTTGAGAGTAAACGTTTGTTATATGTTATTATAATATAAGCGAAGTAGTTAAGTGGTTGGTTTAGAAAACTAAGGCAGAAGATGGTACCATTGAGGTAACTTACAGGTAAATCGCAACTTTGTTCACTTGGCTAAGAGCGCTTTTTTGAAGACAAATTTAATGTTAGAGTGTAGACTGTTACTGTTTATTTTTCTTGAAATTTTTGATTTGCATTTTCAACCAAATCCCTCATTGCATGACTATTGCTGGACCATTTTATTCTTTGTTTTTTTCTTATTTCTTCTTTAGCTTTGCTGGTATAGATTTTCAGACAGTAAACTAATATACTATCATTCTTACAGTAAATATTGTTTTGCTGTTGCAGCATGTTGGAAATTGTGTTGAGCGATAAGTCGAATTTTTCCTAATTTCTTTCTTCCTGACTTCCAAAACATTACCAGTGCAAAAATTATTATTCTTTAAATAATCTCTCAAATTACAAAGTATTTGCTCTACTAAAATTGCTATTTGGAACGCGTTCTCTGAAGCGTAATGTAAAGCACCAGTTTTATATTCTTTTAATGCCACAAATTTTGCATAATTTTCATTACAATTCTTCTTAGAGATCAAAGCAACAATACATTTTTTGCAAAACTTTTAATTTTTATCAAGCATTTAACAACGTAACTGGAGCAACTGTACAAAGCATTTTTTTCTCTCAAAGAGAGTTCTTTTTTCTTCAAATTCCAACTTCTCGGTAAAGCTAAATTTTATTTTCCTTTAGGAACATCGTTTTCTTTTCAGTTATTATTTTTAATATAACTGAAAAACCAACTAAAGGTGTTGTTTTGTCGGTTTCGTAACTTGAGGTATTTGAAATGTCCAAGTATTGAGAAACTGATAAAAGTTTTAAGTCATATTTAAATTGAATGGCCGTAGGGATCGGATGTCTTGATCGAAATCGGGAAAATACATTTTCTAGACAATCTTAAAAAAATAGTATTTTCTTTTCGTTCAAAAACGAGTTTTGCAGGTCTAAAATTGATGTTGTAGTCGGTATAACACCTGTTTGAATAAGCTTCCAAACTGTTTTTCCGAATTTGTCAGGAGCGACTTTTAAGTTTAAAAATAACTTAATGAAATCTTAAAAGATTTCTATAGTTTCCCTATAGACAGCCATTTTAAACTTGCTCAAGGCCAAAATAGTTGATCTAGAACTAATCAACTGGAACCATCTATGTACAACATCAATAAAAACAGCTGTCGTTAGAGAAGATTTGTCTTCTCTCTCCTCTTCTGCATCAAATTTTATTCCACAACTAACATTTCGATTCAAAACGTTTAGAGAATTTGACACCTTCATTTTGTTAAAATGGTTAGACTGTAAAACATCCACATTTAATTTAGACGCAAATTGCAGCTCAAATTTGCCTTCTTCTTCACAAAAATTCGTTTCGTGTGCTAGCAGAGTGTAGACGTGCATTTTGTCGCTCCGTACATTCGAATCATTTAGGTGAGTTTGTTCCATATTGATTTGAGCCTCTCGTAAATCTAAATAATTATATATACTGACGAATAGATTGGTTTGTTAATTTTTGTCGAAGGAAACATATTCCATGTTTCCTTTCGACTTTTACATTTTGATAGAATTCGTTATCATTCGTTTTTCTTACCGTCGACTTTTTTGGCAGAATTTGCTTATTTTCTACTTGACCTCAAACTGGCCGCAGTGTGATTTCAGCACTTGCGAGTGTCGAAAATGGCTATAAAATGCAGTAAATGCAATAGCACCGTAACTAGAAGTCAGAACTATTTGTCCTATAATGTCTGCAAATCGAATTTTCACAATGAATGTGTGAACATTGATGATGATGCTTACAATCAGCTTCAAATGGAAAGAAAATTAACATCCTAGTTGTGTGCTTTTTGTTCACTTTCTGCCTCTGCCTCTGCTGCTTCTCATACTCAATCCATTCCTTTAGCTTCTGAATTTAATTTGTCTCCTCATTCTTTGAAAATGATCGAATCAATCATTGGAAACCAATTAAAACTATTAACTGATACTATTTCGATGTTAGAAAAATCAGTTAATAATTTATCTCTTGAAAATTCAAAATTGCCTAATGAAATAATCATTTTAAAAAAATGCTTACCCGCCTCTAAACCTTGTGATCAGATAATGTCAGCTGATGCTGATGAAATGCACGCTAAAACATCTTATGCCCAAACTTTAATAAAAAACTCTCAGAAAACTATTATAGTTAAGCCAAAAGGTGAAGATCAGAAAAATCAGTCAATTGCTAAAACTAAATCAGACGTTTTAAAAAATGTGACAGTTCTAGTAACTTTAAACAAAGCGCCATGAATAACCTGTCAGACCAGTATGATATTCGTGAAGTCAAGACTATTGGCCCAAGAGTTAGAATTACAGGTATTCCTGACTACATAAAAAAGAAGACATTGTCTTATATATGAGAAAACAAAATGAATCAATTTTTGACGAAAAATCAATTTGTACTTTGTTAAAATATGGCCCGGTTAAAAAAAATAATACCATTTTTCAAGCTGTTTTTGAAGTGGATTTGTTGACATATAAAAGGGCACTAACATTGGGACACTGCCTTATTGGTTTCAATGGTTGTACTATATACGATGCTATTGATGTTTCCAGATGTTTTAATTGTAACAGCTACGGTCATTCACACAAATTTTGTAAAAATTCTTCTTCTTGTCCTCGGTGTGGTGATCGTCATAATTTGAAGGAATGCCAGGCAGATGTTGAAGCTTTTAAATGTGTCAATTGTTACAACTTCAATCTCAAAAATAATAATCATGACGTTAATATTAATCACGCAGCTTGGGATCTTGACAAATGTCATTCGTACAAGATGGTCATTCAAAAAGTCAAACAAGATTTGTTTGGACTTTCCATATAGCAATCAAATGTTTGTCCTCTTTTCCTCCCTGATAGTCCAACAATACCCCGCTACTCGTGTGACATGAACACCAATAATTCAATGCATGATTCCCCTACTCCAGTTGTTTATTACCAAAATGTTAGGGGTTTAAACACCAAACTCCCGGAAATATATAATGCATTGGCTAGCTGCCATTATGACATAATTGCTTTTTCTGAAACTTTTTTAAACGACTCTGTCCATAACTCAGAAATTTCTAATAATAATTACACAATCTATAGGAGTGACAAAAAATATTCAGATGTTCATTGTCAACGTGGTGGTGGTGTCCTTCTTGCGGTTAAATCAAATTTTGCCTCGTATAAATATGATTTAAATAACTTAAATTTTAGTGATTTACTTGTAATAGATATTCTTGTAGTCAAGATTTTTATAGGTCACAGTATTGTTTATTTTATTGTAGTATATATCCCTCCGGCCAACAGAGTTAGTGCAGCTGATATGGATTTGTTCTTTGAACTTTTATCCTCTCTATATACTTTATTACATGATAGAATCATTATTGTTGGTGACTTCAATATACCCTCTTACTCTAGTTTTCTAGCAAACCCCTTGATACGCGATGCTAAAACAGAATCACTTTTAAATTTTCTCGACTTGACTGACTGTAATCAGCATAACTTTGTACGTAATAACAATGGAAGAATTTTGGATTTGGTTATTTCAAATAAACAAACCACTGTCAATGCAGCAGTTGATATTTTATTAACTGAAGACTCCCATCACCCGAGCTTAGTAATTAATTTAAATAATTTAATTAGAACGAAAATGTTCTATGACAAGCCCTTGCATAATCCCGGATTAAAATCTTTTAACTTTTGTAAAGCTGATTTTTCACTTTTGTACAATTTGCTTTGTAATACTGACTGGTCTTTCATGTCTAAACATACTGATGTAAATACCATGTGCTTGCAGTTCTATTCAAAATTATATGAGATCTTTGACATTTCTGTTCCTAAGACTAAACGCTTTAAAAATCGTCAATATCCTCCATGGTTTGATGCTAAAATAATTTCTAAACTAAAACTAAAATGGAAATTATGGACACGTTACAAACGACATTCTGATTTGCAATCTTATGATAATTTTAAAATCCTAACAACTGAGGTCAAAGCAGATATTCAACATGCCTATGCCAATTATATTCAAAAAATTTAAAACAACATTCAATCTGATCCTAGCAGCTTTTGGCGCTTTATTCATAGTAAGAAAAAAGACAATAGTATACCTAAACTGATGACCTATAACAATGAACTACTAAGTCGACCGGAAGACATCGTCAACTCTTTTGCTGACTTTTTTCAAAAATCTTTTATTCTTTCTAATCCATCTGTAACTATGTCTTCTTCAAATTGTCCTCTTTTGTTAATCAAATCGTTTAATGAATCTGAAGTATTTAATGCCCTACGGAAGATGAAAAACAAAACAACAGCTGGTCCTGACGGCATACCCTCTTTCATGTTAAGTGACTGTGCAACTGTATTTGCTTCTCCCCTATGTGCTATATTCAATCTAGCAATTAAACAGTGTGAGTACCCGTCCATCTGGAAACAGTCGAATATATGTCCAGTTTTCAAAAATGGAAACAAAAATGTAATCGAAAATTATCGACCCATAACCTTGCTCTGCAATTTTTCCAAGGTATTCGAAATGTTGCTTTATGATGTTATTATCGGGCATGTTAGGCCTTATATATCTGATTTACAGCATGGTTTTCTCAATGGCAGATCTGTAGAAACAAATCTTTGTACGTTTACTCAGTTTGTTTCCGAGTCTTTTGATGCTAAATGTTCGGTGGATTGTATATACACTGATTTCTCTAAAGCATTTGACAGATTAGACCACTCTAAATTGATTGCCAAGTTGGATAGTTTTGGTATGTCAGATTTCCTAATTAAACTTTTTAGTTCTTATTTAATTGGCAGGACGCAGGTTGTTACCATTGGCGGTTTTCAGTCAACTGAGGTACATGTTACTTCTGGTGTACCGCAAGGGTCCATTCTTGGACCTCTGTTCTTTATTTTGTTTATTAATGACATTGGTATCGGCTTTAGCTCTGAGTGTCTTCTATATGCTGACGACCTAAAAATCTTTAGAAAAATAACAACATTTTCTGACCACCTTCTCCTTCAAGCAGATCTTTATAAA